TTGAATCATTCTTAGTCGGAAAGCACGGGAGATCACTTCGCCCACTGCCTCATCGCCTTTGAAAATGTCCACCGCAGTTGTGGACGAAACGTCAGTAAGAAATTCCGATAGACCACGGCTTCAAAGCCCGGAAAACATTCCTAAATGTAATTTGACCGGCCGTGAAAGCCTTCATAGTCTGAATTTCGTTCTGTTTAAAATGTATGTTCTGTTTTAAATTGTTCCAGGAGGCCACCGGGAATTTCACAAAAAGCACAAAGAATTTTGTGAACATACACTCACACAAAGCCTTACGTCTCGGGGCATTTCGCCCTCAGCATCTTGCCCTAGTTTAGCCGATGTAGACTCATACCCCGCATCGAAAGTCTTACCCTTTTTGTATTTGGGTAATAGTAAGGTAAGTTGGCATTTCAATGCAGTTAAGCGGCTGTGAAGTTTGCTCTCGGCCGCTTCGATTCCTTCAGATAAAATTGCATGTAATTTTTTGCAGGATGCAGCCGACCTTTCTTGTCTAGAAGGACTTGGTACCACCTGCGTATTGAACGTGACGTCGCAACTGCCCGGGTACCACGAAGAACGCGGTATCACATACAAACAAATACCGGCGACCGACTCAGGCCACCAGAACCTGAAGCAGTATTTTGAAGAAGCTTTCGAATTTATCGGTGAGTTTAGATAATGGACAATCAGATTAATCCCAGCGTATGTACGTGCAGAAGTTACTTGGCACATACCTGGCAATATCCTAAAACACACATCTTCGTACCCGAAAACCCGTTCACCATGTGCACATTTAAATCGGAACATGTCAAATTACTACTCCTCATTAAAGTTAAGAATTGATGGCCTGCTATTGTAGGAAAGTCATTCATTAAAGCTTTGTGTGTGTGTTCAGGAAATGCTCGGTTGCTTCCTGTTTGCGCTAATATTTAAACCGACGAGGAAGTTCAAATCGCACAGATATAATTCACGAAGCCCAGACTTGAAGTCAGCCCGATACAAGAATAATGTGCTAAAACCTGTATCATTTTATTATGCGATTTTTGCTTCCGTCATGCCTGCACAGAAACCCTGACGGTTTAAGTACGATTCGTAATTCCAATTTAATGTGAACGATTTCCTGCAAATAGCGCTCTCAATAAAGTATGTTTAAATATTATCAGTATTTTACGGCCTGTTGAGCGACGAGATAAGCCATTTATTGAATGCATCACCATTTCGGGTTATCAGAAACGTTGCCTGCTTTCCGAGAATATCGAAAAATCAAGACTTTCATTTTAAGACAAGCGGAAGTCAATCAACTTGATTGATATTTTGCTCAACGAATTTGAACATTGAAAAACATTGCAGGAGTACATTGGAGTATGTAAAAACCAGCCCTAAACTAAGCTCTGAATCACTCCTCGTAGCATAAAGTGAACAAACAGATGTCTTTTGTCGTCCTGGTAGATAGCTTGTTATTCTCATGAATGGTTTGGCTGGCCAGTTGTGAAATGGCCTTGTTTTTGACTCATTGGTTACTCATCGTGGTATCACTCTTTAAGGGCCGATGCACTCGGCTAGATTCGATGACTCATTGTTTCATGTTTCGGGGTGTCTCCAGGCACCATTTATTTTTACGAAGGGTGCTAATGGGTCCAAATTTCCTGTCTTCCGGATGTTAAACGTTCCCATGTTTCATTGCTTTCAATGAGATTAGATTATATTGTTTGTTTGCCCGTTCTGCTCTCATACCTTGCAAATGTGCTGGACGAAAATTTGTTTGCTGTGCAAAAATCTTCTATCTGTTTCGACTTACGCAACGAATGTTGTAATTCATTATCGTGAACAACTGCGTGTCTAAATTGAAGCAACAATAAATGCCAATAAAATATTTAGCCGTAGGCTCGGATTCAATAGCCAGTCCAAAAGATTACGCTTGGCTAAATTATTATTTACTATTTGTATTTGCATTTTAATTTCCATAGCCACACTAAGTTATTGATTTATTTTCATTTGTTCATTCGAATCGATTTATTATCTCATCGGATGTGTGTGCGTGTGTTTATGTCTCAAAATCAGGTCCAATTGTTAGAGACAGTTATGTGAAACTGAAACAGGTTAATTGTGATAATGTTTGGCGAACAATACTTTGCGACCAATTAATTGCATAACGCCTGACTCACGTCCAATATCTTTGTATCTAAGTAACCTTGTTGGGTTCAAAGGCTTTGATATCGACTTGTTTCAGTATAAGTATGACCACCCGTATTTCGACGCAAGTTTTTTAAATTTTGTTTCAACTAGTCTGGCTTAAAATATTAAAGGGCGCCTGAAAGTCTGAAAAACTGTTATATCATACCTGTTGAATTAGTGTGGTATGAGTAATCAAAAGCAACATTCAAACCCTTACGCAAGAGTTCCCCTATTCGGATTAGGGTCAGATTGGGCTTTGTTTACAACCAGGCAGGTTTTTTACATCCATGCAGGCTCCCTAAAATAGGGCATACAGGATGACTCACTTCGCGCCCATATGCTCCAAAGCTGTTGATCAATGAACTGGTTAGTCATACAATCAAACTTTTGTCAACTAACTGACTTGTGGAAATGAAGGAAATCGGTAGATCTAAGCGGCAACGAATTACCTTAGTAGACAAAGAAAACGTTTCATTAGTGTGGTTTTAAATTATGTTAAGTATTAGATAAGTTCTATATTGTTGAGGCGGATTCATTTTTTTACAAACTTCTTGTTGAATATTTCGCCTCAAAAATTTTTGTCTAAAAAAGACAGAATTTCCTCACGTCCTTTATTACAGATTGATAAATAGTGCTCCTATTTCGCAATAAGAACGAATTATTT